TACCCCGCCCAGCCCGTGGGCCCGCCTGCCTACCACGAGACCTTGGCTGGTGAGTCCAGTGCCGCCTCTGACCCTGCCCGGCTCCCGCTCCCGCTCCCGCGGCGCCCGCAGCCCACTCTGCCCTCTCTGTTTCCAGGGGATGCAGCCATGGCCTATCCTGCCAGCCAGCCTCCTTACAACCCAGCCTACATGGACCCCCCGAAGGCCACCCGCTGAGCGCACTGCATCTCTGGCTGCCACTTGATGCATCGCGCGCGCGTGTGTGTGTGTGTGTGTCCACGTGTGTGCGTGTGCGTGCTTGTGCGGCTATGCAGGCACAGCCTTTCAACCCGTGCGGTGTGTGTGTCCTGTTTGTACACGTGATGATGACAAGGTGGGGATGATCCTCACCAGAGTTGCTGGAACCATACTTTGTTCTCTTCCTCACTTCAAATTATGCTTCCTTGAAATCCCAAGCAAAACTCAAAGAATGGGGTGAGTTCCTGGCCAGACCGCCCGGGAGGCTGGGGGGTCGTCACTAGGACAGCCCCGCTTTTTGTGGGCAGCAAGTGCACATGCTCGGGCTCTGCAGTGGCCAGCCTGCTTGAGGCCATGCCTGCCCCAGGTGTGGCCTCCCTCACAGAACAGAGCTGTGCTGCAGGGCGGTGGGTGGGGCCGGGCTAAGCTGGGTTTTGATCCCACAGTTCCCTGGAGCCAGGCCCTGAGACCACGTGGAGATCGCCTCGGTGCTGGCTGCCCTGGCCCCCGACACAGGTGGACAGGGTGGCCTCTGTCCACCTACACACTCAGGTGTCCTCCCTGCAGTGTCTTTGTTGTACTTTTATCCAAACTTTTTTTTTTGCCTCTTTTGTTTTAAAATGTATGTGATAGTTGCTGAGGCTGAAACCCCTGGGTCCTAGAGGGACATTGGCCCAGAGGAGAGGGACCATCTGACCTGACAGTTCCTGTTTCCGTCACACCAGCTCCTGGACCCTCGTTCTATTGTCCTGGCAGCAGGGACACTGGGCCACCAGCCTCTGAACCAAGGTGGAGGGCCCCGGGGGGCCGCTGGCCCAGATACGAATACCTCGGTGTCCCCGTCCCTCTGTGACTGTCTCGCCAGATCTGTCTCAACTTTGTACTGTTGATGCGTTTCTGAGTCTGGGAGCTGTACCTTGGTTTATAATAAATGCAGACATTTTGAGCTACTGGCCCTTCCTTTTTTAAAAATTGACTTTTAGAGAGGATGGGAAAGGAACGTCAATGCAAGAACAAATCATTTGGCTGCCTCCTGCATGCTTCCTACTGGGGATCAAGCTGGCAACCCGGGCATGTGCCCTCACCAGGAGTCAAACCAGCAGCCTTTTGGTGTACCTTGGTTTATAATAAATGCAGACATTTTGAGCTACTGGCCCTTCCTTTTTTAAAAATTGACTTTTAGAGAGGATGGGAAAGGAACGTCAATGCAAGAACAAATCATTTGGCTGCCTCCTGCATGCTTCCTACTGGGGATCAAGCTGGCAACCCGGGCATGTGCCCTCACCAGGAGTCGAACCAGCAGCCTTTTGGTGCCCAGGAGGTTGCTCAACCAACTCAGCTGCACCGGCCAGGGCTGCCTTGGGCAATGGGCCTGGTACCATTTCCATCCAACACTTGGACTTCCAGGTTTTCCTAGTATTGGGCTCAGACATCTGACCATCCTGCGAGGGAGGATGAGGGACAAAGGGACAAGGTTGTGCCACCCTCTGTGCCGTCCCCGGGGGCTGAGTGGGGCAGAGGTGCAGGTGCTGAGGCTGCCGAGGAAATGGAGGACGCGAGCACTCAGTGCGGGGTCTTTATTGTCAGCCTTTCCTCTCAGCTACTGCTCAGGTGAGCCCAGGGACAGCCCGTACAGTGTGGCCAGCGCCACGGTCAGCAAGGCCAGCAGGCTCAGTGGGGCCAGGAGTCCCTCCCTGGGTGAGGACGCAGGGCCCTTCCCTGGAGGAAGGATGCTGGCCCCAAGGCTGGGACGGGCATGCCTGGCTCTGCCCAGGAGCGCAGAGGCCGTGGCAGCAGGCGACCTGGCGTTGGCTCCAGTGGCGGCTGTGGCCCCGTACATGGGCTCGACGGCACTGAAGGGCCTGGCGTGGGCATCCAC